GGGCCAGGTTCCCGGCCTAGCGCCCCCGGCCCCGCAAAACGGGAGGGTTCGGTGGCTTGCGTTCAGTTTGTCCCCGAAGGACCCTGCCCTCGCGTGTGCCGCGCGGCCTGTTCCGCAACCGTATCATGGCTCCAATCGTCTCAGATTCTCGCGGCCCCCCCACCGCCCCCCGCCGAGCCGAGCTCGGCGGCGAGCTTGTAATTAGCAAGCCAAGCGGTTTTATCGAACTCCTCGCTTCCAATTGTAAAAATGCCAGGGTTGGGTCTAAACGGACACCATCATGAACATGATGATGATGATGATGATGCTAATGGTCATGATGGTGATTATGATTATGGTGATAATGATGATAATGGTGATGATGATGATGATGATGATAGTGATGACGATGATGAGGATGATGATGGTGATGGTGATGGTGATGGTGATGATGATGATGGTGGTGGTGGTGATGGTGATGGTAATGGTAATGGTGATGGTGGTGGCGATGATGGTGATGGTGATGGTGATGGTGATGGTGTTGATGATGATGATGATGATGATGATGATGGTGATGGTGAAGGTGGTGGTGATGGTGATGATGCTGATGATGATGATGATGATGATGATGGTGAGGGTGATGATGATGGTGATTGTGATGATGATGATGATGATGATGGTGATGGTGATGATCATGATGATCATGATGATCATGATGTTGATGATGATGATGGTGGTGGTGGTGGTGATGATGATGATGGTGGTGGTGAGGTTCATGATGATGATAAGAGAAAGAGGAGGAGGAAGAGGAGGAGGAGGAGGTCGTCGGTGCTGCCGTGCCCGAGGCGCCTTGCCCGCTTCTCTCTGCACTCGCCGCGTGCAGTCTTCCTGACGCCCAAGGCGGAGAGGCGCCTTGCAGCGTGCCTAAGCAAAGGAGAAGGTCCTCCACCCCGCCCCTTCCCCACAGTCTGCCCTCGCGGCTGGGGCTCGCGGAGGTTCTGGCTGTTCTGCCTTCGGCCTTGCTCGATCGAAGCCGCCAGCCCAGATCTGCGCGGCCTGTCGGGCGGCAGTCACGTGAGACAAATCGAGGGAGAGGCCAGCAGGGAGAGGGGGGGGCATTTTGGAGGTGTTGGGTTCGATTGTCTGTTGTTCCCCTCTCCAGCCTCGGCCTCCAGAGCCGCTTTCGGGCCTCGGGGCCGCCGCGCAAGGATCCAGGGAACACGATCTCACTAGATGAATCCCAGGAGGGGTCTGGGGACCGATTTGCTCGGAATTGGTTTCATCCTCCCTCTTGATCGATGATCTGGGGCCCCAACCAACAGAGACCTAGTGGGCGCCTCCAACGTACGACTGCAACCGAAGAAGCAAGCAGTACGCACATTTGGATTTTCAGACGGGGGCGGACAGCAATTTTCGACTGTGGGCAGCAGGTGCGTGCCGTTAAGCGCAAGGAGGTTGCACAGCCTTGCCCTTCAACTGCGCCGCTAGATCAAACGGATTTGGAAGCGTCAGAGCGCCGATGGTGCCTACCGCGCTGCAGGGCGAGGGGCGCAGACGCGAATCACTCCTTACAAGGGAGAGGTCTAGCTCGGCATTCCACAAACAAGCTCCAAGAGTCTGTGGGAATGGGCGTTCTTGCAGGTGTGCCACAGGCGAAGATGCCAGTGACGGTTCGATCACAAGAGTTCAGTGGCAGCGTTGTTCTCTCCCGACGCTATGTCGCGGACGACTAATCCAATCAAACCCATTTGCCTGTTCCAAGCTTGGGGGTCCACCCGAGGTTGTTCCAAACATGCACAACCAGGGGAATAGTAGGATCTATGTTATCTATGCTCCGCCACATGCAACGCGATTGGTCTTCATGCGGGGCCTCATACGGTACCGACCTCAAAGAACCTATGCATGGAGGCAGCTGTGAAGTGTCAGCCTTCACTGCAGCCGCCCCCACGGTTGCCGTGCATGCGACGTGGGGGCAATTCTGAATGATGCCCTGTTGGCCCGCGCGCGAACAGAAACGCACGCTCAAGGCAACGCTTTGCCGAAGCAGACGCGCCCAGCACTGGTGATCGTTGTTTTATTCGTTGTTTTGCTGATCGGCGCGGGCCCTCGCACTCCCCCCCCCCCCTTGGAGTGGATCTTGGCTGTTTGCTGGCGCCTGCGCCGAGCGCGCGGGGCCTCCCCCAAGGGCCGCGCTCTTGCAAACAGCTGCGCTCAGCAGAGGTGAGCCAGACACCCCGCCCCACTCCTCCTCCTCCTTCTCCTCCTCCTCCTCCTCCTCCTCTTCCTCCTCCTCCCCCTCCTCCTCCTCCTCCTCCTCCTCCTCCTCCCCCTCTTCCTCCTCCTCCTCCTGCGCCCCAGAGCGCCGCGGGGCAACTCCGCGGCAGCGCCGCCGTCCGCCGCCGGGGCCCGCGCGCAGATGACGGGCACGCGCGAAGGGTGCCTGTCGGGCGGGGACCGGCCGTCTTGTCGAAACGCCCCATGTTGAGACGCCGAATAAAGAATACGGAGAGAAACCCAATCAGTGGATGGAGATCGTCAGGGAACCGGGGAGCCCGAGGACCCAGAACACACCGAAATCGGCCCGGAACCAATCATCAGGAATCCGGGAATCCGGAACCTGGAACCTGGGAGCCCAGCCTGCTACCAAAATCGGCGGGAAATTGTCGCCAAATCTTCCTATTTCCGCTAGGACCCCTTCAGTGGAAGCACTGATTGGGGAATACGCTCACCAGGCGCGGCCGTGGCGAGTTGCTTCCGCCCCTGGTCGGAGGAGGCGGCCGCCCGGGCAGCTCCACGCACGAGTAGCCGTCGAAGCAGCGCCGTCCTCTGACCACGTTGGCCAGGCACGGCCCGCGCAGACCATCATCTACAGTGACGTCGGGCCTGTCCCCCCACAGGAGGAGTGTTCAAGAATAGTCGAAAAGTGGTACGGTGACGACCTTTGTTTGCTGTAGTTGGATTGTGTTCTGACTATGTTTTATCTTTCTTCCCAAATCCCCCTTGTAGGGGGACACGCCCACCCTAAATCTTCAGTCGGACCGCAATGTAAGATCGAGGGCACCCTGGTATTATTTGTACTTGTTGGGTGCTCGTGCATCATGGGGGCGGCACCCTTGGATGTTCAGTTTGTTTTGGCCGACGAAGATTTCATGTTTGTGATGGATACTCTTCTGGCCTAGGTCCGTCGGCATGGGAAATCCGCGCCCCAGGTGCTAATGATGGCACGGGCCAGAACCCAATATGCGGTTTGTCTGATCTGCTTGCCTGAACTTGCGGTCGGCATTGGCGCCATTCGCCATTCGCGCGTCCGCGAGGCTGGCGCATTCCCACGAGAATTGCGCAAGCCTCTTTGACGGCTGGCGCGACGGGGACTTGGGTTCCGCACCCAGATGCGACGCGCCCAGCTAGACCCGAAAGAAACTCCAGGCGCGCTGGTACAAACTGGCGCAATCTCTGTTTTTTTACAGGACAGGCGAAAAGTCGGCACCGCGGGCCAGGTCTGACAAGCGTCGGGGCATCGCGACAAATCGCCACGGAACGCGAGATTGCATCTTCAGATAAAGTGTTCAGCGATATTTCCTGAGCAGGATTGACCACCCCTGTGATGGCACCGGGTCCGGAAACAGGGGGAACCCGTTTTGTGTTCAAAAAGATTGCGAAGCCAGTGTTTGACGTCCTCCTCCCCACTCTTTTTCCGCATCATTCTGACGGGGTGTTTCCTGCTGGACCCCTATGGTCTTCCCTTTGTCAGAGCGTGAATTACCTACCCCGCTTTCGCTTCCAGACAAAACCAAGTCATACCACGCGCCTCCTCGTCACGCGGCCTGACCAGTACAGCCCGTAGTTTGGCATCGTTTGGTATCTCTTGGAAGCGAGGGTGGTCAAAAGCGGGGTAGGTTTGTTTTCCCCCTACTTTGGGGGTCCCAGTTGGGCAAGAGAGTTCGTTTCCCCACCAACCAAAAAGAAAAAAAAGTGGCGCGCCACGGGAAATTGTACAGACCGCACGGGCCAGGGCCCTCGCCCAGAAGCTGGCGCTCGGCCGCCCGGACGCGCCCCACCCCGCCCAAACGTTTCCGTTACCAGGAGCCCCACCCCCCTTGGGGGCGGAAAAGAGGGGGGTGATGACTAGGGGGGGGGGATATCATGGCGGGGGCCATGATATCTCCCCAGATTTCGTGGCGCCTCTTCTTATTTCATTACGTCCCTGGCCCCCCCGCTGGGCCGCGCACATGCCGCCGGTCATGATTTGCCCCCCCCCTCTTGGACACCCCCCTCTTGGCCGCTCCCGACCCCCGTTCCCACCCCGTTGTGGGAACGGCCGGTACCCAGAATCATACAACAATGTCAGGGGGCATCCCCCCTGCAGAGCCGGCGCCGTTCATGACCTACGGCGCCGCGCCTCCAGCTTGGAACCGTCTTCCAATTGCTCGGTCTCCCGGTCGCAAGGCCGTTCTTGCCGTCGGATCTCACGAGTTTGGGCCCGGTCGGTCTCCCAGATGGGGTCCGCGAGTAGATGTGGTCGACGGATATCCCAGCGCGGCCGATGCATCAACGATCTGGCGTAATGTGGGTCCCGAGTTTCTCCACGTCGGCGTGGCCGATGCATCGCCGATTCATCGTCGATGCGGTGCGGTCCTCCGACCCCATCAGCTGGGACCTCGCCCGGGAGGCCTCCGCGGGTCTCTCATCGGGGCTCAGGGGACGGCGGTCAACTCAAGCGGGAGTTCGTCAGAGCGCCGGGTCTTTCAGGATCCTGCAGGGCCAGGGGTGCCCTGACCTGGGCTTGGCTGTAGGATCCTGCAGCATCTTGCCAGGCCTGAGTTACCCGGTGCTGCCCTGACCCCGGCCAGTATACGTCCCCGACCTCAGCCCCCGGGAGGCCTCTGCGGGTCTCTCCGTCGCGGGCCACTCTCGCCGTCGGATCCCACGAGTCCTGGCCTGGTCTTTGCCCCTCGGCCTCGGGCGCCGGCGCCGCATGCGGGCGGCTTCCGGCGGCGGCGCGGCGTGCGCGCGCGGGCGAGGACGCATCCGTCAAGCGCTACGCCAACGGCGCCTGGACGGCCTCCCGCCGTCGTCGTGCCGCCAGGGGCGCCGTGCGGCCTCACCGTCGTCGGTGTCGCCCTCCCCTCGCCCTCCCTGTCCTCCTCGCCCTCCCCTCCTCGCCCTCCCCCCCTCCTGGCTCCATCCGCCCTCCCATTCACGCCACAATGAGCCGCGCACGAATCCCATCGGCGCTGGGCAGCTCTAAAATAAGAAGAGCTGTGCTTTTCGCCTCGCGGCCAGTCCCGCTCGAGAGCACAGGAGGCGCGGCGGCCGCGGGAAAGACCTGCACGGCCCCTCGGTCAGCCCCCCTCCCTCCCTCCCTCCCTCCCCCCCCCCTCCCTCCCCCCTCCTCCCCCCCCCTCCTCCCTCTCCCCATCCCTCCCCCCCTCCCCCCCTTCCCTCCCTCCTTCCCTCCCAGGCCCCGGGGCCCGAGGGGAACGGCACGGTTCCGGAGCCCCAGCCCGCTAACGGCCCGCGCGCCCGCCGCGTCTCGAAGTCGGCCGCCTCAGCTTTGCGTTTTCCCCCTGCAGCTGTCCAGGGACGAAAACGGTCGCATACGAATAGTTTTGCGGACCTAGCTCGAGTAGCAGACATTGTTCCGAGCTCTGGATGCTTCAGCCGAACGCCCCTGATGATTCTGGATCGGTTTCTGTGCGTACCAGCTCTGTAGCTGTGCTACAGCTCGAGTTAAGTACAGAATGCCGACAAATGACGTTGACTCAACGGCCCTGGGCGTTTACTAAACGGCCCCGCCCAGTTCGATTTCCTTCCCCGGCCGCGTGTACTCCATGGCTTCGTGTGTCGGGGTGATTCGTGTGGGGGTGGAGGTTCCACCCTCTATAAGCTGCTCGGCCATCTCACCCCTGGCAGCTTGCTCAGGCTTGCGTTCGCCTCCACGCTCCTGCATCACGTGGCTGAGCTCGAGGCCTCTCGGTTGGGGCCCGAGCAAATGGGGTCGGAGTGTCGCGCTGCATCGCCGATGTATCGCCGATGCGGCTCGAGGGCCGCGACCGTGTGGAGCTGCCTCGCCCTTGACCGTCGCCAGGTACTTTTGGTATGCGTTCTGGTCGTCCGTCACCATCGCGTGATCGTGCGGAATGAGGACCTGGCAAGTCGTGATATACTGCCGGACCGTATACGCACCTCGAGCGTCGAGTTAAACCGCCATAGTCTGTGCCAATGCATCGCCGTTGTTCTTTTACGAGGCCCTCTTCGGCCGTTGTTGCTCGCTCTTCTCCCCAATGGAACCTAGGATTCACCACATCGAACTCGATCCGATCCTTGTTCATGCACGGACTCAGATGCTCCATAAACAGATGTTGCCGTAATGATTGAGCTTCATCTGCAACAAAGACATGTCGCCTACAATGTGTCATCATCGTTCGAATGTCACTGCCAGACCTCGCTCAAGCCAAACACAGTTCCTGTTAGAATGCTCGATACACATGCTTATGGGATGCTGGGCAAGTCGGTCACACCGCGCCAAATATCGTATAGTGTTCTTTTGCTAATCAGCGAATCCTGAGCAACACATTTCGTCAATGTGTCCTACCTTCCGTGTGCGCATAGTGTGATGCCAGCCTCGCTCGAGCAGGAACACGCGTTGCCCAGTCCATCTCCCGACCTACACGAAATCTCTACACCTTCACCCCTCTCAGCTCTCTCGGGCCCATGCCCGGCTCCTATTGCGCGTGCAGTGAGCCCCAAGAGCCGTGAGGTACGGTTTCACGACATCCCGCTTACCTTCTAGAATGTTCCAGTTTGGACCGTGATCACATGATGATGACGATGATGATGGTGATGAGTATGATGATGATGATGTTGATAATGTTGATGATGATGAGTATGATGATGATGGTGATGATGATGACGATGCTGCTGCTGATGCTGCTGCTGCTGCTGATGATGATGATGATGATGATGATGATGATGATGAGAGAGCAGCACAGAAACTACTGGACGAGTACGAGAAGATGTGACACCTCCACGGCTCAGCGCACACCAGAGGTTGATGCTACGCACCCACAGCGAAATATTATTGCAATTGGTGGAGCAGGGCATCGTGACGCTCGAACCGGCCTCGAGGATGGCGGCACAATCAAAGGTTACAGTACCTGTCCGCCGACACATTCACACTCGGAAGAAGTAATTTTATTGTGATGAGCTGCTCTCCCTTTTTGGTCCAGACTGTCGCCGTGGAAGGCTTTTGGCGATATCCAGTATGCAGATGTCTGGACAGCGACAGAGTGGACTCTTTTTTTCCTACTCAAGCCATGGAGAAGTGCATCTCTGGGCGATGGTCCAATCTCTCAGTACGGCAATGGAGTGGTTTGTTCACCTCCAGGGGCTTCAGTACTGGTGGGGCGCCCCTCGTCGTTTCAGTGGAGTTTGCGCAAGCAGCATTTCTGGCGCACGGCGGTGTCGCGACGCTTGGCCACTGCGAGAGGCGCCCCCCATCTTATTTCAACTTGGTGGCTTCAGTACTGGGGGGCGCTTCTCGTCGTCTCAGTGGAGTCTGCGAGAGCAGCATTTCTGGCGCACGATGGTGTCGTGACGCTTGGCCACTGCGAGAGGCGCCCCCAACTTGGTGGATACAGTATTGGGGGCCTCTCGTCGGTTCAGTGGAGTCTGCGAAAGCAGCGATTCTGGCGCACGACGGTGTCGTGACGCTTGGCCATTGCGAGAGGTTCCCCCCCATCTTATTTCAAACTGCCTTCCGAGCAGCTATACATCATGGGAGGCATTGGTGATATCTGCTACGGGGCCCCGTTCTTCACTCCCGACGGCCTGTACGCCTAGGCGGGGCCTCCCGAGAGAGCGATGATGATGAAGGGAGCTGTAATTCGTAATTCGATCAGGCCTGTCAGTTGTTGTGGAGCACCCTTCTTCCTCGCGCCTGCCTCCCCCCCTGTGCCTGTTCTCTCCTCCACGATTGATTGCTGGTCTAATTTGAGGCCCTCTCAGATCGGTGGTGCGTCGTGGCTCTCGGGCCCCCCACCAACGAGTCGCCGCGAACCGCCTGTGGGCCCCCATCCCCAGCGTTCGGGGCCAGCTCATCCTCCTGTAGGCCCTCAGGGCGAAGTGACACAAGCTGAAACTCAAAGGGTTTTAGGCCCTGTCTTTTTGTTTGTCAGCTTTTCTGTGGACGCCCCCAGATACCCATTCCCATTCCCATGATGATGATGATGATGACGATGGTGGTGATAATGATCTTGGGCGCTCGTGCAACCCGACGTTGCAGATCTTGGCACAAGAGTGGCTCGAGAGATCTGCCACGCGCTCGTGACTGCAGAAGCTGAGATGGTGAGATCACTGTTGCCATGCTCAACGTTTTTGATGCTGTTGCGAATCAAAATAAAATGATATTAACTTCGATTCGCACCCCCCCGGGGATTATCAAGTTCCGCCTCCGCGCCCTCTCCACAATTACAATCGAATTGACACGGGATAAACATGCAAGACGGGTTGCGGGGGGTATGGTTCATTATTGGGGCAGTCGGTTACTTGGGGGCGCTGGTCCTCCCATGCGGAGCCGTCTTGGATCGCGGTTGGGAAACCCAGGTGCCCGAACCACATCGGTCTGGACGTTTTCTGGGGCTGCCGTGCAGCGTGGGGATGCATAACAAGTTGGATGCGTGAAATCGTGTAGAAACCATGGGCACACAAACGAAGAGTAAGGCCTCAGAGAACACTCCGGGGAGGCCTCTTGGAAGCATGACGTGTCGACGAAGTCGTTCGGGGGGCTGTCTTGGGGTGATCGTCGGCGTCGCAGGGATCTCGGAGCGTCCCTGGCCGCTCTGTGACCATACTGGGGCGCGCGGATCCCCCCACGCGGAGCCATCTGGGGACAAGGTTGGGAACGTCAGGGGCCGAACCGGGACGGTCTGGGCGTCCTCTGGGGCTGCCGCGCAGCGTGGGGATGCAGAACAGGCTGCATGGAGAGAAACGTGGACAAAAACTATGGGAAAACCAAGTGTGTGAGCTTGGGGGAGCTCTCCTGGAGGCCTCTAGGAGGCCTGTGGGAGACCTGGGGCACCGGGCGGGAGCAACCCCTGAAACTCCTTGCAACCTCTTGGGACTTTTGTGGCTCCGGGCCGGCGAAACCTGGTAAAAACAAAAGGAAAGTAAGGCCCTGGGCCACCCATGCGCCGCCGAGGTCCCTGGGCGGGACCCCTCCGGCCACGTCCCCCGGGGCTCAGGTGGCTCCGGGTGGGCGACGTTTATATATACAAGTGGCACGTGTGTGCCCAGGCTCATACAAAAAATTGAAGGGGCGTTTGAAGCAGGAGTGAAATGCAACATCGAAGTCGCACTCGAGCGCAAGTGGGGTTGCCACACCTTGCGATGTGTGCACCAGGGCCCCCAGGAAGCCTTAGGAGGCCCGACTTGGATACCAGAAGAGGCTCCAGGAGGCCCCAGGATTGTGAGTGTTGTGCGTGTGTGTGTGTGTGTGTGTGTGTGTGTGTGTGTGTGTGTGTGTGTGTGTGTGTGTGTGTGTGTGTGTGTGTTTGTGATGTATGTTTCGTGTGGTGCGTGCTTTTTGTGTGTTGTAGGTGTTGTGTGTGTGTGTGTGTGTGTTATGTTTGTCTAGCGTGTGATGTGTTGGGCGTGATTTGTGTCTCTGTGTGCATGTAGTTCTGAAGCCCCAGGAGGCCCCAGGAGGCCCCAGGCGGCCTCAGGAGGCCCCAGGAGACCCCAGGAGGCTTCAGGAGGCCCCAAGAGGCTCCAGGAGGCCGCAGGAGGCCCCAGGAGGCCCCAGGAGGTTTCAGGACACCCCCAGGAGGCTCCGAGGCGGGGTCTGGGGTGCCAGAAGGTTCAGAAGGCCCAGGAGGCCCCAGGAGGTTCCAGGAGGCCCCCAGGAGGCTCCGAGGCGGGGTCTGGGGCTCCATTTTGGAATGATTTTTCAAGCGAAACCGCCATTCACTGAGAATCGGGGTCACAATTATTGAAATTACCATGTGTTTTTGAAGGTTTTACGTTAAAATGTTGAATTTTCCATGTGTTTTTGGACCC